ATAATTATAAATTTCAGACGAAAACAAAAAAAATAAGAAAAATGAAATCACTTAAATATAGTGACTATAGTAAGATTTGACTAATTATAAATTTAGTCATATTTTGGCAAACAAAAAATTATTTGAATAATTTTTTTTTAAAACCTTAGAACGAAAGATGATGATGATGACAACTATTTTTCAATATTATATTGCTTCAAGTTCAATGGTGTAGGTAGGGCGGGAAACGAGGAAATTAAGGCGACTTGAATAAAATATTTATCTATATATATATTTATAATATTTCACACCGGACTTATTTAAAAGTAAAAGACTTCATAAAAATTCGGATTGCTAAGGGTATGGGTTGGCTCCCTTGGCTACTCCCGTGACTTCAACGATTATGATGTTAACGGTACACAAGTAAAAACATATAAATATGATATTGAAGTCTTGGACAACTCTTGATGTAGATAGTTCTGAAGCATCAGGGCTAGCTGATCGGCTACTATAAGACTTAGAAGAGTGTGAGTCTAATCAAACATATACTACTCAATAAAATGATAGTTGAATGTTAAACAAACAAAGAAATAATTGCAATAAGATGAAACATTCTGAACTCAATAATTAAATGTATTTTCCTTTTCACAGTAAATATAGGCTCTCATGATAAGCTCGAACAAATGCCCCCACTAGATGAAACCCTTTGAACTCTCGAGCAACCTGAACATTCATAAGTATACACGAACGCAACCACTTGATGTATAAGCAATGTCAATGTTTTTTCTTTCTTCTGTGACGTAGATAATCTTCCCATCCTTAGCTTCCAAATCGGTGAAAATCAAAGATGGTACAAAATATGTATCAAATGTAAACGAGTCCGTTTTTAGAATTAGGGGAAATAGGAGCAAATGGTGATTCCAGATTCCTATTGGATAATAATGAGAGTCTATTGTCGTGTGTTTATGCCAATTAATATGGGAGAAAAGGGTCAAATAAGGTCTTCTACTATTATGAAATAGTCACATAAGGCCATGTACTCAATAAAGTGTCATATAAATACATCTACTTGTATAAAACAATCAAATGAGTCCTAACGGCTTATTTAACACCTCATAATCCCGGTTTTAGCTTACATGTCGATTTTTTTGGCTTGTATTGCAACCAATCTTAGTTAAATATTTGACGTATGCCGTATAATGTATTCTAAAAAGATGGTCAGAAGTACGTTGAAACCGAGATTAAGAGGTGTTAAATAGGTCATTAGGACTCATTTGATTGTTTTTTACAAGTAGATGTACTTATATGACACTTTATTGAGTACATGGCCTTATGTGACTATTTCAGAATAGTAGAATGCCTTATTTGACTCATTTCTCATTAATATGGTGATATTCATCTTCAAGCATCAACCAAATCTCGTGTGCGCCCTGAAAAACATCCCAGGGGGTCACCCATCCCAAGACTACTCTCGTGCAAGCACGCTTAACTTTGGAGTTCTTGGCTAATGAGCTCCCTTAAAAAGAGATGCACCTTGTTGGTATGAGTAGTACTTGACAAAGTATATGGACCCCTGTTAGGAAATTGATGTAACGTACCTCGAAAGTACGGCAGCGGAAGTTTAAAATTTTCCCAAACAGATCTTCCCTGATTATGACAAAATAACGAATATGATAATAATAACAGATCTGAGTTAGAACTTACAGATCTTCCAGCCTAGCGGTGATAATCCTTGACCTTTGGTATCCACGTGATTTCTCCTTCCCGAAAGAACGGTTAGATCTCCCTAAGAGAAAGGCTAGGAAATCTCTCCGCATGGAAATAAACTGGTAATACTGAATCTGAAAACTGGTCTATAAATTATGAAGGAGGAGGGTGTATTTATACTAGTTGTAAACTAGTTTCCTAATCACAACCAAAGTCTTACTCATTAATGAGTTATAGTCCTATCAGGACTAATACATCATTATTAATTAAATAAGTTGGATAAACATAAACATAATAATAATAATAACAATAGAGAAGTGGATGCACGCCACTCCCTATATGTTTTTATTATTATTTAGTTTATTTTATTTTCCTTTTTAATTCCCAATCAATAGAAGAAAATACCAACTTTATTTAATAATAAATACACCTTAATTAGGTATAATAAATCTAATTTATCACACTTAATTTATTCTATCAAATAGAACTCTCCTTCAACATTATGAATTAAATATAGTTTAATCCAACTAATATTTAATCCATTTCAGTATTACAAATTAAATATTATTTAATCCAATTAATATTTAATTCCTTCTAACAATTCAATCGGAAGGTATAATCACTTGTTGTGTGACCCATAGGGCCTTATATATTAAGCACTAATCAAATTAAGGTCTTAGCAGAATCCCTAGACGATTTACCTGACAATCTTAATATATAAGGACGTTTGCAAGGACTATTCAAACTCCCTGTAATATAGAGCTCATAGTGATACGGTCCTTTCATTCAACGAACATTCAACTAAGTCTAGAACTTGATATTGTGCCTATTCCAATAGCTTAGTCTCTATCTCTCAATCTTTCTAGATGATCCATAATGATCATATTCGATATCCAAAACGAATATATCTTTGCATTGGCCAATGACTTTATGATCCATCTAGATATGAGAAATAGAATGTTCTCTCTTAATCTATTATGAGGAATGAATTCTTTCTTGGCTCAACTACTACTCCATGTGCTTCGTGATGCACCCAACACATGCCGTATCTACCCCGATTGGAGTGCAAGTGTTGGTCATGGTCAAAGTACATTACTCCGCACATGTAGTACGTATTGACCTCAAGTCGGAGGACTATTACACTACTCTATACGCCGATAATCCCATAGACACACGAATAGAACTTATCAAATGGTTTCTCGGTGGGTATGCCAATATTCTCTAAAATATCTATGTGACCATCATGAATTACATGAACTCATAGTTGTGAGATCAACTATACTTTCTAAAAGTATGATACAATCCACATACCAATCTTATCGCATATCATCAATATCCCATTCTTGATGATCATTGATTGGGGCTATTTTAGAACCTTATGTTATATCATATAAGCTCCCACTTACTTATTGACAACATAAGTCCAAGGGAACACAATTATGAATAAGATATTGACAATCGAAATACTTAATCATCGATGTGTAATACCGTATATATCAAATATATAAAACTGAATGTGATCAAGTACATATATTTCTAAAAAGTGATTGTCGCTAGGACATATATACTAACAATCTCCCACTTGGCCTAGTGCCAATCACCAATGCGTCTAACACCTAGACTCTCAAAAGTCTAGTATGTTTCTCACATCTCAAAATGAATGGGCCAGCCAAATTGTCCTCTACGGGAAGGTGTTCTATTGCAACATATCGTCTTGCTATTTGTTCTCAAAATATGATAGCACACAGGTATTTTCTAGTTCCTTACTTTGCATCTTGGTTCCTTAGCTTGTGCAAATGCACCGGTACAGTCACAATAACAATTATTGGATAACTATCGCTAGGAACTACCTCTATTTCCTTAAGGAACTAACGTATCTAAAATGCTTACCTATGTTGCATCAAATGCAACAATTTACTAGGCTCTAGTTGTCGAATTTACAATAGTTTCTTACCTGCAACTCTTGCAGCATTACTATTACATTGAGACTAAAAACATATACTGGCTGTGACTCGTAGTCTTTCTTATCATACATGAGACTAGTGCTAGAATAATTAAATTCTACTAGTTCTTTCTGTCTACCATAGACAAAAGATATTCATGAAGATTTTGGGTGACCATTCTTTCACCGACTTCAATGAGGGGATATCATTCTCTATGATCAACCTATATGATTATAAAGACCACGCTATTCTTGTTGCGCACTCTAAACACGCAAGCACCGTCATTTCATTTGATGAGGTCAAATGACTTTTTCATCAAAATTAATATTTCAACTCCTAGATGCTTGTTCTAGCCCATAAATGGATTTCTCTAATTAACATATTGAATTAGAATTTGATATGGATATAAAACTTTCTGGCTGTACCATGTACACCTCCTCCATGAGGTTTCCATTAAGGAAAGGGGTTTTGACATCCATTTGTCAAATCTCATAATCATATTGAGCAGCTATAACAAACAAAATCTAAATGGACTTGAGTTTTGCAACTAGCGAATAGGTATCACTATAGTCAATTCCTTTTCTTTGACTATAACCTTTAGCCACTAGCCCAGCTTTGTATGTTTTCACCTTGCCTTCAACATTAATTTTCTCCTTGAAAATCATTTTGCATCCAATGGGTCTAACCCAACAGGCAAGTCAACCAAGTTCCATATTTGATTGATACAAATCGAGTCCATTTTAGATTTTATGGCTTCTCGCCACCTCTATGAATCAACATCTAATATTGCTTCTATGTAGGTCTCAGGTTCATCCGTATCAGGAATCTTAACATCATCATGATCCTCCATGAGGAAGCCTAAACTAGTTAGTTCATGACAAATCCTAGTAGACCTGCAGAGTTGAATGTTTTGCGTTTTGTTCAGGTTGTTCATTCTGATCGTGAAGAGGTTCTCTTTCATTGGACTATCCAATGCTTAGAGAGTTTTCTGGTGCTATACTCAGGGAGGGAGAGTTAGGTGCAGAAGGAATGACAACCATGCCATTACTTTCTTCATAAGAATCACTTGCTGGTGCGAAGCGCTTCCTATATTACTCCCACTAGCTGAAGGATATCCTCCTAGAGACATTCTTCACCTTAATTCTCCCACTGAATCCTTCGTTAGACAATCTAGCAAATTTTCATTCTCTATGTTACTTTAGCTTTTAATTTGATTAGTGCACATTTCTTTACATATGTAGGGCAACCCATATTTAATATGTGAAGAAAATGTCTTTTATTATACTATAACTTATATAGTACGTTTTGCACTAATCAAACTATTCAGAATGCATATTGAGATTTATAGCGTGTACCCTCAAAAGAATGTTTTGGAAGAGAAAATGAATTCATCATAGATCTAGCCATGTCTAACAAAGCCCTATTTCTCCTTGCAGAAACGCCAGACTTCTAAGGTGTTCTGGAGGAGTTCATTATGATGGAATTCTTTGACCTTTTAAATAAATCAGAAATTTCACTTAAGTACTCTTTGGCTTGCTATCCTTTTTCCTAGAAAAGGTTTATTAGTCAAGTTGCTTGAAAGACAAGATTCACAATTTCCATATGACTCAAAAGCAAATGGTGTTAAATAATCTAATTCATTTAACGTTGCTATTCTTGTTTCATTAATTTGACCAAGTTTGCAATGTCATAGATAGGTAGTAATTTTTCTGATTACTTAATCGAGATCCTTTTATTTTATTCATTTAATATCTAATATGTCGATTGATAATTAACCATTCATAAGAAAAGCATTTCCACAACAACACCATTTTATGAAAATAACAATTATTATTAGCAAAATGGAAATAGAAATCTTTTAATGTCTAACATATGAATGGAAATAATCTTCTTGGTAATAGAAGGAATAAAATAACAATTATTTAATTCTAATCTAAAACCATTGGGCAAGTCTAAACTATAAGATCCTATTGCGTTCAGCAACAACTTTTGCTCCAACCTTCACGCGTAGGTCAATTTTACCCAGTCCAACTGCTACACTGCTTCTCATGCTTCTGCACATTTTTTACAAATGTGTAAGCCATAAGTTGTATCTAATACTTTAACAATGAGAGTTAGTTATAGACATATTTATTTAATGATAAAAATACCTGAGCTTGAAGCACCCGATGCTTTGGCTAGATTAGCCTTATACAACTCACAATCTCTCTTCCAATGCCCCTTCTCTTTGCAGTAGATGCAAACATCCTTTGCAACCTTTGGCTTCATATGACCTCCACCTTTAGGCTTCAGAGCTGTAGGAGTAGGTCCAACCTTACCTTTCTTCTTTTGCTTATTCTTGTTCTTAGAACGAGACGTAGCATTAGAGCTTACCATAAGAACAGTCTTTCCTTTAGAGGTTGAGGCTTCATAAGACTTGAGCATGTTATGGAGTTCAGGCATGGTCGCTTTCGTTTTGTTCAAATTATAATTCACAATGAAGTTAGTAAATGAACTTGGAAGCGAATATAGGATGATAGCAGTTGAGACACGATCCTCAAACTTAATTCCGGTGTTAACAACTCTTTCAATTAAGCCAATCATTTTGAGGACGTGCTCAGACACGTTGCCACCCTCTTGAAGCCTACACTTGAAAATGTTTGTCAGAAGTTCATACTCTAGAGTCTGACTTTCCGAATCAAACAGATTTTTCAAGTGTTCAAGCATCTCGAAGGCGCTCATCCTATCATGTTGCCTTTGCAACTCCATAGACATTGCAGCCAACATAACACATTGTACAGTTTTAGCATCAGTGACGTGTTTCTCTCGAGCAGTCAGGTCAAACGTGGCAAACTCGGGAGAGTTGGCATCAGGAATCTTGGGTACCGGTGTGTCTAACACATACTCAATATTTTCTTGTCTAAGAACTAATCGTACATTTCTTTCCCAGTCCAGAAAGTTTGGTCCAGTAAGCTTGCATGTATCCAAGATACTTCTCAATGATAAATTCGACATTCCTAAAAGCCTAAAGAAGTTGAAATAGAACGGAATTAAAATTCATATAATAATTCCTATGATCACATTTAGTTAACTAAATAATATGGACTTTTAATTATTTAGTTCCCACTATTTTTACATGCTCTTTGACCCCAATAAAAAGAACATAGATTGTTTTTACAATCATAGTGGCCAAGATCCACATTCATATTATTATAGTCTCAGCTTGGGCTGATCACTACAATAATATAATGGGTAGGTCCCTAGACCAATTGCGTCCAAGCAACTCTTGATTGATCAATTTTTAATTGATCGACATCCCTAAATTAACACTGACGCTTGGGCGACTTGAGCTAATTTAAGTAAGTCAAAACCATCACACGATCACAAACATATGTATCTATAAATTAGTTCTATATTTTGTCGAATGGAATAAACACTTGGGTGAAATATTCTTCAACGAAAAAATATTTCTACTAATTTAATTATGATGGGTGATATCGTTATCCTAGATAAGACTTAAATTTTAATTTATGGGGAACGTTTAGCGGGGTATTAAACTACTTAATCAAGATGCTAAAACATATTATCAAATAATATGTTAACGAGATCAAACTCAAATAGAAAAATTAATCATGCAATATAAATCTAATTTATATACAAATACAATAATCAAATAATTAACATAAAAGCATGCTTAAAAATTATAATCATGATAATCGATCAAATCAAATATGTTGAAATTAAGCTATCCTTTACATCTAATTAAAAGCTTAATTTTATTAAAGTATTACTTTAATATGTTATTCAGTTGCTAAATAATCGGCAAAACACTTCTAATGTCTACCGATATTTCGGGAAAAAACAATCACACTTTGAATGGAAAATCTGAAGATAAAGTCCTACTGTTTATAAAAAACAACCTAAGGACCGTAACTCAATTTCAGGTTGGATTCTCTGTCTGCAACAATTTAGCCCCCTCCTTTAAAATTTCCAAAAATTTAAAGTTAACCAAATAATATCAAAATTTTCATAACGACCCCAAACTCTAGAATTTGAAGTTAGCGATGGAAGGAGAGAAAATCGCCGGAAGATTGGGCCAGATCCGATCGTGACGCATTCTCCGATGATAGGCTTCGATCACCGACCTTTATCATCTCCTTCATTGATGCTCCCGTCATATCCGTGATGGTGGTGCCAGGAAACCTACTCTCTTGTCATTCCTCAGATTCGAAAATATTGGAAACAAATTTGACATAACTTGGTTGACGGGAAGGGAATACATGGAGATAAATTGAAAGAAAGATCGTTCCAAGAAAAAAACAGAGCACCAGAAGCTTTAGAAGTGAACGATTGAACATCCAAATCCATGTATTAATTTAGATTTAATAATAACAATCAACTCCTTTCAAAAACACACGAATTATCCAATTTCAAAAATTAAAAATTCAAGTATCCTATAATCTGCAAAAACTCAATATACTTAATCCGTGACAATATCCATATAAATTCGTATAATGTCATTAAAATCAGTTTGGCTCTGATACCACTGTTAGGAAATTGATGTAACGTACATCGAAAGTACGGCAGCGGAAGTTTAAAATTTTCCCAAACAGATCTTCCCTGATTATGACAAAATAACAAATATGATAATAATAACAGATCTGAGTTAGAACTTACAGATCTTCCGGCCTAGCGGTGATAATCCTTGACCTTTGGTATCCACGTGATTTCTCTTTCCCGAAAGAACGGTTAGATCTCCCTAAGAGAAAGGCTAGGAAATCTCTTCGCATGGAAATAAACTGGTAATACTGAATCTGAAAACTGGTCTATAAATTATGAAGGAGGAGGGTGTATTTATACTAGTTGTAAACTAGTTTCCTAATCACAACCAAAGTCTTACTCATTAATGAGTTATAGTCCTATCAGGACTAATACATCATTATTAATTAAATAAGTTAGATAAACATAAACATAATAATAATAATAATAATAATAACAATAGAGAAGTGGCTGCACGCCACTCCCTATATGTTTTTATTATTATTTAGTTTATTTTATTTTCCTTTTTAATTCCAAATCAATAGAAGAAAATACTAACTTTATTTAATAATAAATACACCTTAATTAGGTATAATAAATCTAATTTATCACACTTAATTTATTCTATCAAATAGAACTCTCCTTCAACATTGTGAATTAAATATAGTTTAATTCAACTAATATTTAATCCATTTCAGTATTACAAATTAAATATTATTTAATCCAATTAATATTTAATTCCTTCTAACAATTCAATCGGAAGGTATAATCACTTGTTGTGTGACCCATAGGGCCTTATATATTAAGCACTAATCAAATTAAGGTCTTAGCAGAATCCCTAGACGATTTACCTGACAATCTTAATATATAAGGACGTTTGCAAGGACTATTCAAACTCCTTGTAATATAGAGCTCATAGTGATACGGTCCTTTCATTCAACGAACATTCAACTAAGTCTAGAACCTGCGTCTGGATTGGCAGAAGGGTGTTCACCAGCCTTTTCTAAAAGCATCCGGTGCTATGGTCCCAAGAGTTCGTGGCCAAATAATGGAAGGCCAATTATGGTGTCGTTTGGATATCGGCGTTTTGGCCAAATATTAGCGTGTTTGACCTATTTAGCGTGTTGAACCATACCAACCGTTGCTTTTTTCCTGTTTGGCAAATGGAGGTTGGCCTTAGCATTTTGGAAGAAACCTCCAAAAATGAAGCCGCTACTAATCAGAGCGTTTCAACTTTGGCAGGTTGAAACAGTGACAGAATTCCACAGTTGCCCCTGTCTTTCCGTTGCAGGCTTGCGATCGTTTGTCGTTTCAATCATTCGGTGCTCCTCACTATTTTGTTTCCTTTGCAAGACGGACTGAATAGGCTCTCGAATGTAATAATTTGCAGATTTATCAAGTTATGTATCCTTCTATTTTTTATTTTTATTAATGCTTATGAATTCATTAATTATTATTATTATATTATTATTTATTTAATTTTAAAGTTAAACACTTAAACTAACAGATATGATGTACGCATAAATTAGTATAGTGCTCAATTTAAATTAAACAAAAAATATGCTAAACTTTTATAATGTCCTTTTTAGTCATTTTTCATACTAACCGTTAAAAACAAACCGCTAGTTTACCAAACATTTTTCTGCAACCCGCTAAACAAACCCGCCAGTCAAATCCGCTGATCGGATCCGCTATTTACTACCTGCCAATAAAATCCGCTATCCGCTAACCGCTAACCGCTAAGTGCCAAACAGGCCCTATATTAGCTTGGAGTCAAAATGGGGGGCCAAATAATGAAAGGTTGCTTGGAGAGTTTTGACCCAAGTCAAAATTGGTGAGGGATCCATCCATGTTAACGAACCCTCAACAGCTCAGCCTCTTTTTCAATGGTAGTACTAATCAACAACATGGCTATTGGTTTTTGACAAATTAGAATGAGCTCAAAGGAATCAGCCGGATATTATTCTTTTCCATCATTCCAATATATTTCAGCCCATCAAAAGCTAAGTGCTTCTCTTTAATTTTTATATTATTTATATTTATTTAAATCATTTCTTTTTGTCGGGCGAATGTAAAACTATCACACACTTATGATAAAATGCCTAGTAGAGTGTGTCTTTAGACCCGTCACTAGGATTTAAAGCCCTGACCTAGAGCAAGCACAAAGCCCTGACCCAGATCAGGCACAAAGCCCCGACCTAGTCGGGCCGAAGACTGGTCTTAGTCATTTACTCGAGTGGCAACCGTTGCTAATGAATGGCTCACACATCCACTTTACTAAGCATTTTATCATTACATTACCAATTCACATATCTACTTGTTTCAAGTAACGAACTCCCGATCGGAAACGTAAATCCCAAGAAAAACAATTATATGTATGTTAAATGTGTAGGTACAAAGATGACTTTACTCATTTTCACCTCGTCTCCACTAGCCCCAATGAGTGGGGGACTGAGGAGTCAGAGCTTCTAGATGAGCAGAAAATATCAAGCATGAGTAGGAACGAAAGCTGAGTCAGATGAAGAGGAGTTGAGCTAGACAAAATTGATTATGCCGAAGGGAACTTACTTTCCTTGTTTCATGTTGGGGGCGCTAGGTGTACTTTAACGAGGCACATCCCCATCATGGACAAGGGTGGTGGTCCCCCGGTCGAAGAGGAAGAAACCAAAGATAGAAGAACGTTGTAGATACAATCGTGGACTACTCCCTTTCACCTTGAATACTCTCGACCCAGGGAGTGGAGGACTTCTGATGGAGTATATGGACCCCGACCCCTTGATCTGCCGATTATTAGACCTGGACAGCTATTCACGTACACCAGCAGACAACATTTATATTACTGTATATTTTACATATTCATTGTATGTACTAGATTAGCCTTTTATGTTATCAATCCTTTATGTAACCGGATCTGTCAAGCCCATATTAGAGGCCCAAACCCGGATTTCTCTATATATACTACTTTTTGGAGCTTGTAAACATAGGTCACAATTCCTTATTCAATACACATTATCTCCTTTCTCCTTCATGTTCATTTCTCCCAAATTATAGGGTATGGGTATCGATTATCCATCAGTACTATTAATCCGTTTAAATTAAATCACCCCCATTTAGGAACACAACATCTTTGTTGCGCCCATAAACCAATCTCAAATTTCAATCAAATCAAGGAATCCTCCCCCGCTAAGTGTCTGCCCGATATCCAACGGGTCAGCACACTGTCGCAGGGTTGCTCTGATACCACCTGTAACACCTCGGCCCCGCATGACCCGAGATAGTTACTCTAACACACCCTCCATACCTCTAATACTGTCCTCACAAACTGCCATTAGCCTTTTCCGCGCACTTTGTCCTCACTCGTGCGCGCCCTGAAAAACTTCCCAGGGGATCACCCATCCCAAGACTACTCCCGTGCAAACACGCTTAACTTTGGAGTTCTTGGCTAATGAGCTCCCTTAAACGGAGATGCACCTTGTTGGTATCAGTAGTACTATTAATCCATTTAAATTAAATCTCAAGTGTTACAATTTGGCACGGTGCCGTGCCAAAAAATTTGTTATGATTCATGCCAAACTCGATCAATATGTGCCAATTCTATGCCAGTACCGTGCTTTTTTTGTAGTGGAAATTTAGTACTCCCTCCGTCCCATTAGGCTTTGCCAACTTTTCATTTTTGGTTGTCCCAAAAAATTTTGCCACTTTCCGATTAAAGCAACTAATTTGTGGTTCTGCACATTTGTCTCTCTTCTGCACAAATCTCAACCACACACTTTTTACTATCTTTTTTTCACCTACTTTGCATTTGGCAAAGTCCACCGGGACGGAGGTCGTATAAATCTACAGACAATTTCTCATTTTTAGACAAATTGCCAGTGATACACACGAATTCCCCTTGATACAAACAAAATGTACAGCGCGTGTATACAAAATAGTGTACACACACAACTTTTCTAAAAAAATGAGTGTTACATGTCATTAGTGATATATGGTGTCTTAAACTTTAATTTAATACCTTTTATGTATTTGAAAATTTAACCCTACATTATTATCATTTTGATTCCCCTTCAATACTTAGCTAAATATTACATAGCACATCATTTCCTCTCTTGTTTTTCTTCTAATGTTAATTATTTCTTTTCAGGCATTTCTTCTTTCGACTTCTATATTCTCTTCCAGCCAGTTCTTCTTCTTCCCTCCTCCTTCTTAGATTCTTGCTCTTTATGATGTCTTGATTAATTTTCATTATCTTGACTTTATTACACTCCATATAAATTTCATTTTTTGCTTGATATTATTATATTTTTATGATGCACCTATCACTTTTTACGGTTTAAGTTTGTAATTGCCTGTAGTGTATCACTTATTATATTTATGAAATCTTTATTTTAGAAGAACAAGGCATGAACGGGTTGTAAAAGATTTAAGAATTTAACAAGTATTGAAGTTTGAAAAAAGGAATTCTTGGATCGAGTCTTTTTAATATATTTTTATAATAAGTCCTATCGTATTTAGTATAATAACAAGACACAAAGTTTCTTCCTTTTAATACATTTATTTTATTTTATTTATTTGGACATCTTTGTGTAACACATATATCGTGCATTACCGCTATTAGATTATTGAACTTTAAAACGGGGATGAAATTTTAATGACACGTTATATATCATTAGAAACAATATTGTGAAAGAATGGTGTCAGAGTTGGCTTAATTATGTGTTAGTGGAATTGAACCACTAGCTAGACCCCATGGGTTGCCCCCTTAGCTACACCCGATCCATGGCTTCAACAGTTCTCACATTAATAGTACACAAGCGCAGACACTAGGTCTGACCGGTACAAATAATATGTTTGGAGAAAAAATTACACGGGATTTTCTACACTAAAAAATTGGACATTTTCTTAAATTTGGGCTAGGTCAGGGTCGGCCTCCGAGCTACGCCCCTGAATATGGTAATAGAGTCCTGGAAACTCTTGCATGTAGATAATTTTGAAGCATTGGGGGTAGACTGATGGCCAAGGATAAGATTTTGAAAAGTATGAATGAGATCAGTTAAATCAAACATATATGTAGTGCTAGTTAGGGGTGCGCAGCGGTCCAAAACCGGACCGAACCAAACCGGAAGCGGTTAGGACCGAAATCAGAATCATCATTTTATATGGACCGAAGACCGGACTTGAATCTAACCGCTCAGACCGGTTCGGACCTGAATTTTCCGGTCCGGTTTTGACCCTAATTGATTCGGTTTT